AGGTCAGCACCATGGATATGGAGCTGGACTTGGAGTCAGGAAGACCTGAGTTCAAATCCAGCCTTAGAAATTTACTAGCTGTAGGACCCTAAATAAGTCACTTAGCTTCTATCTGCCTTAATTTCCTCATCCATAAAAATTCCAATTTCCCAGGATAGTTGTAAGGACAAAATGAGATAATATTCCTGAAGTGTTTGAAAATCTTAAAGTACTTTATAAAGGCTAGCTGTCATCATCATTATCATATTTATATTGTTATTATATAAATTACTTTCCTAACTCTACCCATTTCATTCTACATAAATTTATAAAATTCTTCAAAATTGTTCATTTTTGTAATATTGATATTATAGTATAAATTGTTTCGGTTCTACTTACTTTACTCTGGATAGGTTCATACAGCTCTTTCCATGTTTGAATTTTGAATTCATTTTATTTCTTGAATTCATTTAAATTCATTTATTTCTCATAGTATAGTAATATTCCATCATATTATACCACAATTTGTTCAGTCATTCTCAAATTTATGGGGGGTTTTGGCACTACAAAAAAAGAAGTACTATAAATATTTTTGTACATATAGGACTTTTTCTTCTCTCTTTCATCTCTTTTAAGTACAGGCCAATAAGTGGTATAACTGAATCAAAGGGCTTATATTGTTTAGTAACTTTTTTGTATATGATTCCAAATTGCTTTCCAAAATGGTAGTACCCATTCACGGTCCACCAACAATGTATCACTATGCCTGTTTTCCCACCACTCCTCCAACATTTGTCATTTTCCTTTTTTGTCATCTTCGAAAATCTGATGGGTGTGAGGTAGACTTCAGAAGTGCTTTAATTTGCATTTCTCTATTAGTTATTTGGAGCATTGTTTTCTTATTGCTTATTTAATATATGAGTTTTTTTCTTCTTCTAGGAATTACTTGTTCTTATCAGTTGGGAAAAAAGTTATTTACTTCAGTGATGCAGAATACAATCTCCTTACAAACCAGGCAATTCTTATCCATGTCTTCTCATAAATCCTGAAAATTGTTCCAGTGTTCTGTTGATCTTCCTGTAGTTCTCTAGATGTTGGGTTGCCTCCAAAGGATCCTTTGGATCCAAATTGTCCTTTGGTTATCCCTTACTCTTTTTTTTTTGAGTGGCTATATATCTCTTTGGGGGGGGCAACAATTACTTTTTTAAATTTTTTTTAACATTTTTATTTAATGTTTTGAGTTCCAAATTCTATCCCTCCCCTCTCCTTTCCCTGAGATAGTAAGCAATCAGATACAGATTATACATGTGCAATTATGTAAAACATTTCCGTATTAGTCATTTTGTACAAGAAAACTTGAATAAAAGAAAAAAAATGAAAGAAAGTGAAAAATAGCCCTGTCTGTATACAGTCAATCTGTCTGCATTCAATCAATATCAATTCTTTCACTGGAGGTGGATAGTATGCTTCATCATTAGTCCTTTGGATTGTCTTGGATCATTGTATTGCTGAGAAAGCTAAGTCATTCACAGTTCTTCATTGAACAATATTGCTGTTACTGTGTACAACATTCTCTTGGTTCTGTTCATTATGCATCAGTTGATGTAAGTCTCTACAGGTTTTTCTGAAATCATCCTGCTTGTCATTTCTTATAGGACAATAATATTCCATTACAACCATATACCACAGCTTGTTTATCCATTCCCCAATTAATGGGCATCCCTTTGGTTTCCAATTCTTAGCCACTACAAAAAGAGCTGCTATAAATATTTTTGTACAAATAGGTCCTTTTCCTTTTTTTTTTTTTTGGAGGGGGAGGGAAGATGTCTTTGGGATATAGACCTAACAGTGTTATTGCTGGATCAAAGGGTATGCACAGTTTTATAGCCCTCTGGGCTCAATCTTGACCTGTGACCAACCCACTTTTTTTGTACATAAATAGATAAAGTATTAGGTGGTTACTACATGCCAGGCACTGTGTTAAGTGCTAGGGGATACAAATATAAGAAAATAAGACACTTCCTACTCTAAGGAATTTATATTCTAATGAGGGAAAACAAGGCAGCTAGATGGCCTAGTGGATAGAGTGCTGGGCCAAGAGTTAAGAAGGCCTTAGTTCAAATCCATCCTCAGTGACTTATTATTACTAGCTGTGTGACCCTAGGCAAGTCACTTAACTTCTATTTGCCTTAATCCACTGTAGAAGAAAATGGCAAACCACTCCAGTATCTTTGCCAAGAAAACCCCATGGACAGTTTTGGCATGCTATGGTCCATAGGGTCACAAAAAGTCAGATATGACTGAACAATAACAAAGGGGAAACAAAACATAAAGGTAAGCTAAAAAGTAAGGAAGAGGTGGAAGCAAGGGTCCATATGCTACAACTAGGCTCATGAGGAGGTGGAGAATAAATGGCGTATGGATGACAATCCTCAAGAAATTGCCATCCTGGCTAGGAACTCACCAGTCAGGGAGCAAGCCCCAGGTCCTCAAGTGAATACGGCTGCTTAAAAAGGTGGGGCAGTCTTAAGAAAATTGGGTTGGGATGGTATTATGTGCATTTCTTAGTTGATAATGTATTGGAGGCCAACTCAGTCACATAGTACACCTTTCCTTTTGGGTGACCCTTGACTTTGTTTTTAGAAACTGATATTTTGTGCCATGAAACTGTGCAACATCATTGGGAGACTCATTTTCAAAGGGTGGGCCTTTGTTGTAGAGAAAAGCTTGAGGTCATCAAAAGTGCTTTATATAGCAAACACTTTCTTTGGGAAAAAAATAGATGAGTGCTGGACCTGGTGAGCACCAAATAACAACATAAAGATAAAAATAAGTTATATTCTAACAAATAAGAAAAGATTAGCATTTTATGTGGGAATTTGTATACAACTAGATCAAGGATTCGTCAGAATTAAGATCAGAATTAGTATAAAACACACAAACACACACACATATACACACAAAGAGGAGTAATAATAAATAATACTAATAGCTAACATTTATATAGGGTTTTTAGGTTTGCAGAGCACTTCACAAATATCTCATTCTTATCCTCATAGCATCCTTGGGAGGAACTTGAGGAAACAAGGCAGACAGAACTAAAGTGGCTTGCCCAGGTTCATATAGTTCTTAGGTGTCTGAGGTTGAATTTACCTCAAGTCTTCCTGGGTCCAGCTCTCTTTCTCTACTGCACCACTTAACTGCTTCACTTAACTGCCCTAATAAGAAAAAAATATGGAATACAATACTTAATCCTGAACTGAAGTTTAAATGCTTTGGCCACATAATGAGAAGACTAGACTCATGAGAAAAACCCTAATACTGGAAAAGTTTGAAGGCAAAAGGAAAAGGGGACAGTGGAGGATGAGATAGATAATGTCATGGAAACAACAAATATGACAAGAGATAGTGGAGAATAGAAGGCCCTGGTGTGCTATGGTCCATAAGGAAATGATAAGACTTGGGCACAACTGAATGACTGAACAACTTAAATCCTGAACTATTTTTTTTTCTTTCTGCCTTTTTTTTTTTTGGCTAGGCAATGGGGTTAAGTGACTTGCCCAAGGTCACACAGCTAGTTAAGTGTTATGTGTCTGAGGCCAGATTTGAACTTAGGTCCTCCTGAATTCAGGGCTGGTGCTGTATCCACTGTGCCACCTAGCTGCCCCAATCCTGAACTATTTTTTAAAAGTAATTGACAATCAGAATTGAGAAATTGACAACAGAAATAACACTGATACTAATTATAACAATTTTATCTCAAAGTAATCAATGTAAATTAATTGGTACAAGAGGAACAGCAAAAAAGATCTTTAGTCACCAAATATCTGACTTGTTAAAATGATATAGTTGCCAAAGGTAACACTAGATTAGAATATAAACTCATTCATAGAAGTCTTATGAAGAAGGATAATGATATTGTCTCATAAAACAGAGAGAAGCAATGGAAGAAAACTACCTAAAAGAAAACTGACTTTGTCCAAGCCTGGGATAGCCTTATGACCTATGTTGCATATATTTAAGGGAATATGACTTCTGATTGGCCGAGAGAATTTTTAGTGGCAACATTGCATAAGGGGAGAATGGACTTCAGTTTTGTTTGAAGGACACTTTGAGAAAGGACTTTTAGAAAGATAAGTCAAGGGAGAGGCAAGGTAGATTTTTGAATGGTAGACTGTAGACATAGAGACAGACATATAGGGAAGGCTGGCCTCTATCATGTCCCTTGATCAAGAGCACCTTAGAGAGTAAACTCTTCCTTGGGGAGATCATTCTCCTGATGTGAGCTGAGATTTTATCTTGTTCACAATTGAAGAGCTAATTTACTCTTGTGTATTCTTTGATATATTACAATCTGTATAACTTCTCTGATTTCTGTTTGCTGTGTTTTTAAAGGTTTAAGAAAATAAAAGGTTTACTAGGCATTTGTGTTAGTCTTTTGTGTAACCAGCTGGTGAATGTAAGCTAAGGGATCCTCCCTCTTCTCTCCCCAGCAATCAGGGAAAATAGTTTTTGTTCTGAATCATACCCCTTTAGAATCATATCTCTAGACTACAGATACTTGATGTGGTCATTCTATAACAATACCTCTCTTGAAGATAAGTGAGGGAAGGAAAGATAGCCCAGCCTCTGGATCCTACCTATTTCTCCACCCCACCACCAGCTCAGCCATTAGCAATGCTGACATATCCTCTTACTCTGCTCTTGGTATCTTTGGGATGTCTGGAGAACTAGAGGAGAGACCCCAGAAGGTTATGGAGGACATGGACAAGAATAACACAGAATGAGTGAGCATGTGTGAATTGTGATCTGCATTGTTGGAATGAATGTCCACATTGGTAAGAGGACAGATACATTTAAACACTTGAGTACACAGTCTAACAAGGCAAATTACTGCTTTTCTGTAGTGTTAAAAGCACAACTTAATAAAAATGATCCTAAAATACTTTGAAAATGTAGCATAAAAGGCTCCTTTTCGAATTTGAACTGTTTTTACTTTAATTTTCTTTGTTTTTCTTTAGGTTTGGTTTGGAGGTTCCAGTAATCCTGAGAAATTCAGAAGAGATAGAATTCAACACAAGAGTATCCAAAAAGGAGATGAAACAAGTCAAGAATCCTTTTGGTTTAGTGATCACTAATCCAGCTTCAGCCTCAATCACAAGTTAGTGTTTATTTCTCACAGGTTACGTGTTTCCAATCCCTTTCCCTTACCCATTAACACCTTCTTTTATACTCTTTCATACATTATACATGATTCTTAAATCTTAATTCATATTTAAAGTTCTTGGTACTTTTAAATGGTTGAAGAAGTGTGGAAGAGTGAATAGGATGCTGGAAATAGAGTCATTAAGATCAAGTTTATTCCTGCCATTGATACTTATTAGCTGTGGGGCAAGCCCCTTGACCTTTTGAGCCTCAGGCAATTCTAGTCTACTAAGTTATAGAACAACTGAGATCTACATTGATGATCAAGTTCCCACACCAATGAAGTAAAATTTTTGATGTATATATTTATTGTGCTGCTGTCAATGTAATTAGTCTGGTTGTCCTTTCCCTAACTCGTAGGATTTAGAGCCAGAAGGGATCAGAGGACCTAGGAATATAGATTTAGAACTGAGAGTGACATTGGGGAAATTATCCAGTTCAATCCGTTTATGTTATAGATCAGGAAATTGAGGTCTAGGCTGGATAAGTAAGTTTCCTGAGGTCACACAGAAAAGAAGTGACAGAATCAGTTTTCAAACCAGGTCTTCTGACTCTAACTCCATGCTATCTTTCTTAGTCCTTATCTTCCTTGACTTTTCTAATATTTTTAATATTGTTAACCCTTACCTCCTGGACATACCTCCCTTTGCTTCTGCGACATTGTTTTCTCTTGGTTCTCCTTTTGCCTATCTGACTACTCTTTTTTAGTCTTCTTTGCTGTATCGTCATCTAGCTTCTCTCTTACTCACTGTGAGTATCCTCCAGGACTTTGTTTTCTCACTTTATACTCTCCCTTGGTGATTTCAGCTGCCTCCATAGATTCATTATCATCTCTATGTAGATAATTCTCTTTCCTGAACTACAGTCTTGCATCATCAGCTGCCTATTGGACATCTCCTTGGTGCCTTGCTGCCTCAGAGACATCTCATCTCAATGTATCCGAAACAAAACTAATTATCTTCTCCCCAAGCCCCACTATCCTCCCAAATTTGTAATCTTGTGGTTATCCTTGACTCTTTCTTCACATTAGTTGCAAAATCTTATAGATTCTACTTCCACAACATTTCTGTGGTCCTTTTCTCTCCACACCCACAGCCACCACCCTACTCAGAGCCTTATCACTTTTTACTGGTCTACTATAAGAGCCTCTTAATTGGTCTCTCTGCCTATATTCTTTCCCCTCTTCAGTCATCTTCCACACAGCTATCAAAATAATTTTCCTAAGACACATATCTGATCATGTCACTCACTCAGAAACTCTCATAGATTTTGCATTGCCCGTAGAATAAAATGCAAACTCTTTAGCATTTAAAGCCTTCTGCAATCTCACATTTACCTACCTTTCCAGTCTTATTTCATACTCATTGCCTTCATGCACTTTGTGTTCTTTTGTTTTCAAATTGGCCTACTAGCTCTTCCCAGACTCATTATCCCATTTTCCACCTCCATTCATTTGTACAGTCCATCTGCCATGCTTAGAATATGCTCCTTCCTCATGTTGACCTCTCAGAATTCTTGTTTTCCTTCAAGTCTCAGCTTAGGTGCCACTTCATCAATGAAGCCTCTACAGATTCCTCTCAGAAAAGCTAGAATTCTTTCTTTCCTTTATTTTCTTTGTACTAATTTGTGTTAAGTATAAGCTCCTTTAGGGTAGAAATTGTTTCATTTTTGTTTTTATATTCCCACTGTCTAGAACAGCACTTTAAACATTATAAGCACTTAGTGATTCTAGAATTGCATTGTCTTACATAGGTTCATTGAAGTTGGTCATTTTTGGTACTTAGATGCTCTTCAGTTTTCCTTCCTCCTCCCCTCCCCTTTCAGACAGGACAAGAGTTTGCTTCCCTTTCTGGTTGGATGGCCAGAATAAGAGTTAATGGTTCAATGTCAGTGTCATAGAAACTGTCAAGTGGAGCAGCCCATGGATCTCTGCTTGGTCCTGTGTTGTTCAACATTTTTATCAATGACTTGGATAAAGTCAAATTATCAAATTTGGAGATGACACAAATGTATAATTTCTGCCATTGTAGGCTGTTGTGCCTATCAGAAATCAGCAAAATCAAATCAATAGATACTTATTGAGTACATATCAGATGTTGTGTTAGGTATTATAAAATACCAGATCTGAAAGTTAGGCAAGAATAGTCATGTAACTCCATTTTTTCTGAAAATGAAAAGAAGATAACATGGAGCCATCAGAGGTAATCCTACTGCGGAGTGGGAGGAATTATATATCTTACAGTGGAAGTATCTCTTTAAAAATGAAAGATGTTGAAGTGTGGTAGTGTTTGAATAAATGTGGTAGAATAAATAAATATAGTATAAAAGTCTTTCACTAATGTCCTGTTCTGATGCTTCATGATGGAATGGATGTGACTAGGTTCTCAAATGCTATGTTAATGGAGCATAAGCTCTGGTCATTTTAACTAAACTGAAAAGGCTTAATCCTATTTGCCTCAGTTTCTTCATCTATAAAATGAGCTGCAGAAGGAAATGGCAAACCACTCTGGTATCTTCACCAAGAAAACTCCAAAATGGGGTCACAAAGAGTTGGACGTGACTGAAACTACTGAATAACAACAAAAAGAAAAGGCTTCAAGTATGGCCCCTCAGAATGTGTCTGACTAGCGAAATTCAAAGAAGGTTGGCTTCACAGTAATTGATACGTTTTCTGTCAAAGCAACTCATGCAAGTTTTTTACTAAATCATGGAATGGTTACATTTTGCATCAATGGAGGTAGTATTCACATGGTTGAAATCATATATCCTGGTAAATTCAGATTAGAGACAATAAGGAATCAGGACAATTTTAGAAGGAAGTGATCTCATTAATAACATTAACATGCCAAAGGTAATTGTTTAACGTAGAATTGTGCTAAATACAAAGACTTAAACAATGGTTTACTTCCATAGAAATATTTATTGATTATTAAGGAAATCATAAAATTGTACTATTTTATAATATTTGAGAATGAGGGCTAATAAAAATTAATTTTTATTTAATGTTTTTGAGTATAGCACATCACAAAAAATTTTTTTAAACTTTAAACACAGTTGGGTTCCTCTTTTTTAATTTTGAATTGTGGTTTTGTGAATGGGGCACATGAAGATAGTTTCTATTTGGTTCTGTCACTGATTAACTTAATTCTGGTCATTTGGGAAATCTTTACCTATCAGTTTTATTCTCTGTAAAATAGGAGGGAAAACTCTATTCTCTTAAGGTATAGAGTATGAAGGAAAGACTAGAGAGTTGGGGTAGCCGGAAAGGAATATTTCATTCAAGAGATAGAAAGATGTTTTTACTCACAACCTTTCCTGTATTATTGTGATAGTTCACAAAAATCAACATAAGAAATCACTACATTAATATAGTCAATGTGGTACAATGTAATGTGTGCTAGATATGGAATCAGAGGACTTGGGTTGGAATTTACTTACTGTTTTTGTGATGTTAGGAAAGTCATTGTAAAATGAAGAGCTTGAAACTAGATGACCTCTAAAGTCTTTTCAGCTCTAAATCTGTCATCTGTTGTTACAACTTGTTTCTCTTCTAGGATAAAATTTTTAAAAACAACTTTTTCTGAAACACTTATAAGATAGTTTAAAACTTTTATGAAAGTTTATTTGAGAAACTGTATATACCAAATTAAGAATGATGAGTCTGTTTTCTCCTTTATGTGCTTATTTCAGGGAAAGAGTTGCATTAGATAACCTCAGAGATCATATCTAACCTTAAGATGATATGACTCTGTGAACTGAGAATGAACAGTATGACTCACAGCAGTATTAAGTATGCTAAAGCGAAGGGAACAACATGAAGTAAATATTGGGACCGTGTAACATTACAATTACTATGTTTCTTTGCAAGTCAAGGGTAGAACAAAAAGGAAGTTTCTGATAATTTTTTGCCTGACTTAAAGAGTAAAATCAAGAATGTAGTTGATTCCATAGACATGAATAGACGTTGAAGCAGTAAAGACATGAAAACTTATTATAATGGATATTTCCAAACACAAGTCCAGCAAAAATAATAAAATTTAAAGCCAGTTTAAATTTACATTGTGTTTAACAGTTTTTAGTCTTTTTGTTCACATTATCTCACTTGACTTCCTGCATTAAAGTATTTCAGACATCAGCCACAATCACTGTGCCATAAAAAAATAAACATGGCCTTTTCTCCCACCTGGTCACTATGAATGGATGAATAAAAAAAACACTTATTAAGCTCTTAGTATATGTAAAGCACTGAGGCAAGTGCTGGGAATACAACTAGAAAATCGAGACATCCCTGCTTTCAGGGAAATCACATTTTAATAGGAGAAAATAATATACTTAAGAGGCTTCAGCTGCAAGCCAGATGGAAAAGGTCCCTGATCCTTAAAGTACAGTGGCAAAGCAGAATGTAATTTATCTTTTTTGTATCATTTTAATCAATTTTATCAATGTTTTTGAATGTCTATTGCACATAGCATGTGAGTCCAAGACTTAGCCTCTACTTTAATGTGTCTTACATAAAACCCTAATTGGGGACGTACAACATATACATAAAAGCTATATAGCAAGGTATAATGATCTATTCTTCTAGTACCTAACAGAATTCATTTGTAATTGAGACCCTACAAAATTCAGATTTTACCAAGGTCCTAATGTGGTCTTCATGCCAGCTATTAAGAAATCAGTCTTTTTGTCAAAGTCTTAAAGAAAGAGCTCTAGCATTAACCTGATGGCATACTTCACCACTTCAGTGAATTCATGTTCTTAGAGATGTAGGTACTTTGGAAATCATAGTATTGTATGATCTGCATTTATCTAGTATAGAATTAATATTTGTTTGAGAAACTTTGTGCATGTGACAGGGAGTAGCGGCTTGGGATTTTTGAAAGTACCAGATAGTTTACCAAGTTCAATCTGGTCTGCTCACTTCCTCCCATTGTTCTTTTGTACAAGTTATATGTA